CGGGTTGTCCGTTTGCCATCGAAAAGTACAAGTTGTCATCATTACTACCATTCGTTTTCTGTTCAGTTCAGTGATGTATTGTATGTTTGTTCCGTTATTTCGGCAATTCGAAAGAAAAGCAAATACCTACCTATAAACAATAACAATAAACTTTAGACTTGAACAATCATTATTGCAAATACGCCTAGAACTAGTGAACAAGGGTGATCGAGAGTGCAACAATCGTTCCACCGGACACCGTACAGTGACTATTAAAAATATAGTTAGAACGAATCGTGCTAATGACGCCGAATTTGATGTGGAAGCCAGAGGCACGTAGCGGGTGAGCGGGCGGGAAGACAGCAGTGACAGTGGATGATGAGTTTCATCGGACAGCGAAATAAAACTAAGTGAGAGCTGCTGATGTACGATGCAATCAGCAAAACGTCACACACTTACTAGTGTCGAACAACCTCAAAAAGAAAGACGTAACGGCGCGATACGCATTAACCACGGTGGACGACGTGCCACAGTTGAGCGCTGACGGAGGTAGCGATACCAACGTAGGAGGAGGAGGGTCGACGTTCTGCCAGAAGACCGTAACTCCGGAGCCATTGTCGTCGAACCGGTGCCAGTGGTCGAGTTGCCGTCGAGGAGACGACGCCTTGGGTACGGAGAAAATGATTGGCTCCAACTGGAACGTCATGCGTCATTCATCGGACGATGGTGATCGAAAGAACAAAGTCGTCGTACAGCAGCCTGAGGGAGGGGGTCCAGTCGGTCGGTCGAGCTACAACGACAGCGACGAACGAAGCGAGGCTAACAAGAGGCAACGCTGGTCGTCGTCGTCGTCGTCGTCAATGCCTTCTTCGCGATCGCTTGCTGATGCAAACTACGGGTGACGACGACAACGACAACGGACGGACACCTGCGGCGTAAGGCAAGGTGGCACGTGGCGATTAAGAGGCGAAAAAGCGGCCAGCGCGCGACATCGACGAAAACCTCACGGACCTCCCGCTGCGGACATCGATCCTGTGATGACCACCGATGTTGCTCGTCATCGTTCT